GAAAACTCATAGACAACAAGTGGATGCCAACTCATAGCGACCCTGTTAGGACAGGGCAGAACGACTCCTCTGGGTGTCTGAGACTGTAACTCTTTACTGGAGTAGAAAGCCCCTTCCCTTTAAGTCGGAGCATTGGGTTGGTTTTGAACTGCTCACCTTGCAGTTAACAGCCCAAGGCATAACCACTATGCTATCAGTACAGTGAGTCACATCGTCATGAGTCAGGCCCTGACAGATGTGCCCTGACTGCCTTGGTCAGAAAGGCCCTGGACCAATCTTCTAGCCGACAAGGTGCATGTCCCCACCATGGGCCCGTTCCTGCTTCTGCAGGCCCACCTGTCACTGTGATGTGCTCATCCGCCAGCAGTCCTGAATTTGTGACAGTTCCTTTGTTCCATGCCCCATTTATCTAGCGCCCCGACCTTGAACCCTCGGCGTCAGGATGACCTGGTGCTCGGCCTCTCTCATCCCGGTGGAGTGTCTGTTGTCTTAAGTCTCTTAAGACTCAGTAATGTTCTCCTCAACTCATCGCTGACCTCTCAAGGAACGCCCCTTCCGGTGGCGCCCGCAACACGTGCTGCCCATGAAGTCCCTTAGATCCCACCTCTGGATTGACGTGCTGACGTCAGCCTCAAACGTGGCGGGCCCCAAGCACCAGGGAGCTGAAACTCTGCCCAGTCGGGCCCATCCGGAGCGGACCTTATCAGACCTCAGGGTTTCCACTGGTGGGTGTTAGCACGCCGATCTCCAGGCCTTTTTTCCTAGTCCCCGAGTCTGGAGGCTCCCCTGAAACTCACCCACCAGCCCAGCAAGGTGCACGCCACGTGGACAGACTAGCAGCAGCAGCAAACGAGGTGAATCGGCCTGGCATTCAATTTTGGAAGGCAAGCTGTTCTACCACGGGACTACCAGCGCTTGTCCCACGTCGTTGTTGTGGTAACATGCCCGGGACTCGAATCCGACTCATCTCCTGGGCTGTATGACCTCTACACGGGTCCCCCAGGTCTTTCTCCCTGAGAGCCGCTGGGCGGGTTCGAGCCACCAACCCCATGGATCGCAGTCCATTGCTTCTCATTGAATCCCACAATGCTCCTCTGGTTTTAGAAAACTGGTCCCCCTTCCAGGAATTTACCCTGAAGATGCAAACTCATAGCCATCCGTGGATGCTGACTCATAGTGACCCTTTAGGACAGGGTAGGATTGCCCCTGTGGGTTTCTGAGAGGGCAACTCCTTATGAGAGTAGAAAGTCTCCTCTTTCTCC